GGACAAGAGATCATTACACCACCAAAGAAAAAGAAATAAGTGAATATAAGGATTTATTGTGGAATTTCTACCCCCGTTTTTTCGCAATCGGTTAAATGTCTATCTTTTTTTAAAAAGACAACGAATATACACCACTTTAAAATAGATATGTTTAATACCGCATCGGTAAAAAACACATTGCAACATACTCTTTATCAGCGATTACATTTGTTATTTATGTAAATTTTGAAAAACCTAATTTAATTGTTTTTAATATTTTAAAATCGGACAAAAAATATTAACTGCTACGCATTTAAACAGACTGGAATTTTCGGGATGAAACTCGACGCTCACGTTTCAATCTATTATTTACAAGTTTGCAATATCACTTATTTATAACAAATGTTTAATAAAGGCGTTTCTGGATCCTTTAAACATATTTCACGGGTTAAAAGTTTTCCCTAAAAGAAAAATTTTTCGATAGATAATCTTTTCAATTTCCATATAATGCGTAATACTGATAAAATATCGAGGGTGAAAGTAATATAATTTGAAAGGAATCCTCTTTTCCCATAGAATTTGCTAAGTAACGCGTTTAGAGAGCCGATGATGGCGGGTCGTCCACTTGGATGTGATCATCTTTGTGCATGCGTCATCTTACGACAATCGATAAATCAATTGGTCGATCAAGATATCTTCAAGAGTCTTAGATCGATGCGAGAAAAGATATTTATTCGTCGTAATGTCGGAGATGACCGATGGGTCAATCGCATATAAATCATTGGATTTATAGGAAACTTGTTTTCTCTTTCTGATTATCCCTTTGTTGACATCAATATTTTTATGCGAGATTCTTATTTTCCACATGAGTCATAAGGAATAATATTACTTGTTTTTTTTAGTATATTTGTTCTGATAATTATGACCGTGGATTAACAAAAAGTCAAAAAATAATAATCGTTTATTTTATAATTTATTTTATTTTAGATTTAATCCTTTTTTCTTAAAGAAAGAAAATTTGAGAAAGATAAAGGTACAAATATATGCAGTTAAATGAGTATGTAAAGTTGGTAGATGGTTCGAGTACTTTTTTTATTTTTTATTTTGATTAAAATGAATGAAACTAAAAGCTTTCAACTTTTAAATTATATTTTTTGTTTGAAGTTAACTTTGTACATTAAGATTTTAATTCTTTTAAGAGTTATTTTATATTGTATTTGGTTAATAAACATTTTTGAAGGAACATTTTATAAAAATAACTATTACATCAGAACTAATCGAAACTGTTAAGTTTCGTTCATAAGTCGTGATTGCGACTTGGATGAATTCATGGTGGCATTTCGTGTCGTGTCATCGAATGTCACTGCATGAAAGCAATGGGGCAATGTCTCCTACCATGACCCACTGACACGAAAACAATGAAAATACCTCGTAACTTGTGAGACTGATATTTCGAATCCCTCGTCGTAATTGAGACGATAGTGTCATTACTAGCGAAAAATATTCGCCGTATACTTTCATTTCGTATGATTTCACCAATATTCATAACTTTCTGAATGAATATTTTTCCTCGAAATGTTTATTAATTCATCGTGAATACAAATATGTTTAATTAAATGATAAGCCGATCCCCACGTTGGTAATAAATACATTAACATCTCGATTTAACGCTGTATTTTATTCAACGGGAATTTTTTTATACGCAGTAAATAATTTTCTTACGTTTGGGCTCATTTTTACACGGGATCACATTTTTTAATAACATTTTATTATTTCCATATTAGTTTTATGTCAAACGTTTAAATTATTAGCGCAATCAAAATTAATAATATATTCAAACATTCGAGTGGAAAAGTTTTTTTTTATCACAATATTAAACATCGTTGTTGATTTATTTATTCATTATTTTTTTAATTTTTATTATTACTCTTTTTTTAATATTGTTCTAACTAATCTTTATTTTTGTTAATTGATATTTTTTATCGTATTGGCTGGAATCTATTTACATAATCTTATTTTAAACGATTAATAAATTCATTTTATTCATTTGTCCTACGTCAAACTTTCGAAGTAAAACATAAGTGATATTCAAATATAACGCATATTAATATAATACTTAACGAGTGTATTATTTTTTTTATAGTTTTATTTCGTTTTCAGGAATTTTTCAAAGAATTCACTGCCGCTCTTAGAAATGTTACTTTCGTAAATTTTTTATAACCCATTCTAGGAGGTTAGCATCGAAAAACAGAGATTACGTAGGTCACCTATTAAGCGGTGAAAATAAAATGTTTGTTTTGAATAACAGTGTTGAATTTCATTTTACTCGATATATGTTGATATATCTATCTCGATATGTATTATATATTATTTATAATAAAATAATATTACACATTTATATTTTAAATAAATATATTATATCTATATATAATATGTATATCTATTTTAAACATATCTTAGAAATATATAATTTAAATATTTCAAATTATTAATATAAACATATATACATATATATTTTTACAAATATACTTATTTCTACGAGAGTAATAACCTTGTTTTTTCTCTTAAAAAACGTTCATTAATCGAATTATCAGCATCAATCAAAGTTGGAAATAATGTTTTTAAATATTTTTTCCTCTTTTTGATGACGTTTTCTGCGTATTAACGTTCTAATACTTCGTAGTACGAGTAAAATTTATTTTAATTGATGGATAATTCGCATTGTTTTCTTTTATAATTACAAGTTGCCTTGCTTTTGTCGCCAAAGTAATGCGATTAGAACTTTACGACGACTGCAAGCGTAATTAAAATCTGCTTCATATGCATTCCTTTCACTTTTACGGAATTCTCGTTGGAATACCAAACGACCGCGACGATATTAGAAATCAAGAACCATTAGAAAGTAACATTGAAACGAAACAAAAATTATTTTCCTTGTAAAAGTTCTTCTAATCTAATTGTGAGACGAATAATCTTAAAAAGAAAGAGCCATGAAATTTTTTAAATGCCTCATATCGTTGACTTTATTATGGTTTGCGAACATGGGCAGGGGCTTGTATATTCACACTGTAATATTGTATGTGATAAATTGAATTATCGTAAGGATTTATTTTGATTAATATTTTTATCATAAAATTAAGATTCATTATTTATCTGAACATTATTTCTTATACTTCCATTAACTCTATATTAAAAAGTAGTATTTATATTATAGAGATTTTACTGTAATAAATTTAAAAATTTTATCGAATTTTTATAGTATTTTATGTATTTTTATTGTATAAATAATAGTAAAATACTATATTCTGTATTAGGAAACAAATAAAATTTCAATAAAATAATGAGTTCTAAATTTTCAATAAATAATAATAGATCTGTTTATATTGCAGGAGTTTTTAACCAAAAAAAAAAAAAGTAAAATTATTGTACATTTTAGAAAAAATTCATTCGAAGTCAGTACAATGATAATGAACTGTGACTCCTTTCTAAGTAACCACAAATATGTCAATTTCATTCACATTTCTATTCTGACCACTACTTATGTTGCATACGAAGGATTGAGTATTCAACCGTTTGAAATATAAATAATAAAGAATAAGCGTTTGAATGTGGTAAAATATCGTTGACATCTATTCTCATTCTTTTGGGAAAACTAACCATCCCTGACACACATTTGATTCACAACGTACATATAGTACTTTACTTTGGCAGTGAATATTTATATATGAATACGTTTAAAATTAAAATTAGTCCAGGGCCAACGTTAAAATTTAAATAATACTGCATTTACCATAAGTCATTAAATACAAAAATATATCTATTACGCAATTGCAAATTTCCTTGAAAAACAAAAATCTTCGCCATAAGTTTGTTGATAATAATTATGACAATAGATTGAGTCTTAAAATGCAAACATGATTATTTTATGATTTATTTATTATATTTTTTATTTAGGCCACTGTCATAATAATCGGTATGTATATTTAACATTTGATTGTAGTATTTTTTTGCTTTTTAAAGTGATTTCAATGGCTGAGACAGTGATTTCGATGCTTGGTAAGCAATATTCTTCGAAGTGGATTAAAGTACAATATATACGTCTCCGTGACACAGAACAAGGTGTAATTCGGTAAATGTAACGGATAATCGAAATTTCAACGTACTTCGAAGAAAAGATATGTGAGCCAACATGAAGTAAACCTCAGAAATAACGGAACAGTCAGACATTTCACAGTCAAGACAAACTACAACATAGTTTTGAGATCGTGTAGAAAGAATAATTGCGTTGGTAAACAGTCGCGGAAGTTTGGTATATTCTTCTATGTATACCCTGGATCTATGTGTTTCTATGTATGTGTTTGAGCATATGTTATCGTTAAAACCTGAAATCCGTTTATTCATGAAATAACTATACTGACCACTTAAAGCATGAAATAAGATAACACTATATACTTTAACAAGGTTTTCATAAATTCACAAAAATAGTTGATGTATTTCTATCAAAACTAATCAAAATGACTCGTTTTTACAAAATACGTAATAATTGAATATTTTCATATTTATTGATTTATTATTATCTTACAAAAATAATTCTATGTTATGAAATTATAACTATTATGTTATGTCAATTCTAATAACTCTGTAATAATGTAATTATTATAATAATAATAAGGAGAAGAATAATAATTACATCACAGTTATATGACACTCTAATCATAAAAGTCTTTAAATTCGACAATTAAAAACCACAGTTATTTTTACACTATTTCAATATCGAATTTAACCACAAAATTAAGTTACTTATACGTGTCAAGATGTAATGTAAACAAATTTACTTATAATTACATGCAAAGAATGAATTATAAATACTTTACACGTTAAATTAATCAAATGAAAATTTTATTTCTTAACTTAATATCATTGAAAATATAAAACAGATTGCATATACGCGTTCACATGAATTTCCTCATACGTAATCTCTTCTTTTAACGATAAATTAATTTTATCTTTTTTATTTGCAGATGGCGGGGTTCGGTTTACAAATTAATTTGGCGGGAATTACTGGCCTACCTCTTTGTATACTACCTCATCAATTTTACATATCGATATGCGCTCAACGAGCAGCAACGTGCGTGAGTATACGAATTCTTTGTCGATTTGAGAACATTTTTTTTTTTTCTTAACTTTTATATTAACAATATATTCTTATATTTGCTTAAGAAAAAAGTTTCTTAATATTTTAATGCAAAAATGAAACAAACATTTTGTTCATATTTCAAATGAAGTTTATTAAACCGAATATGTACCAATTATGAATGAATATATGATATTTTGTTCAAATATTAAAATAAAATATTATTTTCATAAACTGCTAAATATTTTGCTTTTTATTTATTCTTCTTTCGATTAGAAAACATTACTTCTTAAATCGTCAATGTGCATTAAAAAGAATATGAATTATTTGAAACCATCACAATGGTTATTACAACGAGTAAATTTCTTTATAATTGTTCGAGTATGGATCGTGAATAAGCGTAATCGTTAATCAATTTGGTGCTCGTTATGATGCAAAAGTCGATGATTCGTCGAGGATCGGCAATGATTCGTGCGCGTGTGTAATTCTCCACGTGTGTCCGCCATAAACATACTTTTTATGGGCGCAAATAAAACGACTCTCGATCAGCCTTGTATCGACAACAAAATCTGAAGGTTCCAAGTGTTTTGATCACGTTTTATTCTTAACAGGGTTTTCTTTTTTTAATTTATGGCCAAAATCTTTATTTATTTATGAAGTGAAACTTCTTTCAGGGAGAATAATGAAAATTTTTAAATGAAAAAGAAAGTGAAAGGTTTTGGAGGAGAGTGCTTTATTTGAATGATGGAGGAAAAATGGCGAAATATCGATCGGGGAAATAAAATAAATATTTCAAGTGTTATGTGTGTGTGTAGAAATATTTGTAAATCTTCATATATATATACACAATATTAATTTATGACTTGTTCCTGATGTATCCAAGTAATAGTGTTCATAATAATATTCATATTAATCATATACAAGGTGTAACAGAATAAGTGAGAAATATTGTAGGGATAACTTTAGAGCATCATTTACATTCATAAGAGGTGTTAAAAATGATCTCCTTGTACCTGCACACAAGCTTGCAATCGTCTTACAAGGAATTACTTCATACCTTCTATATTTCATTGCTCGGATATGCTGGGAACTTTGTTCAATTTTTTCAGTTACTTTTTTCAAGTATTTCCACACTATCTATGGGTCTTTTATAGACAATGTACTTTAAATAATCCTACAAGTAAAAATCCAACGGATTCAAGTTAGTGAGCCGCAATTCTACCTAATAAACGGGCAGTTTTTAAACAAACGATTTTCAAACAAATAGATTTTTGGTCGTCCTATTGCTTTAGAATATATTATAATCGTTATAAAGTTTTTCACTTCAGTCATGCTGTCTTAAGTACACACACATGATTTTTTCTTTTTATTTTTTCATTTAATATTTCAATTTCGAATTCTCTTTTCCGCGTTTTATTTGATTTCACGTTTCCGGTTTTGTTAAGCTAACTTATATTATTGCGAGTTTTAACTAATCTCGCAGGAGTAAATTTCATTAAGAATTCGCAATATCGCGTTATGTCTACCTAAGAAGGATGAAGTGAAAAAACAAATACTACTTTCAAAAGTCTTGGAGACCAGAAAAAAGGAAGAACACTTCATAGATATTTTACTTCTCTCTTTGCGAGAGGCGACGAATAAAAATGAACGGTGCAGCAGTTCGAAAGCGTAGCCTTGCAACTAAGTTAGACATTCTTCATAATATGTGTTTTGTATATTAAGGAAAGAAAATTACTAACTTAAAAATTCACAAAATTATCAAATTTTACAATTACAGATATGCATATCAAATATATGGGTCAAAGTTATATCAGATTTTAATTAGGTTAAAAAAATCGAGTAAGTTTAAATGAATCAGGAGTACTCAACGTTTTTCCTTCATGGGTCACATACGTCTGTTTCTTACATGAAACAGGCCGCAACAATAGTTATGCAAACTATACTGGATGTACCATGGTTAGAAAAAACGATTTTAAAAAATTGATGATTAAATAAAAATGATCATCAGGAATAGGAAACGAGTATCTTATTCAAATTTATTCAAACTTAGGTATATTTAACATTATTTTATTATTTAAACATTAATGTGATCTTTGGTATTGGCTCAAATTCGTACCGATTTTTCTAAAAATAGATTTGTCCATTTTTTTCAATTTGAATATTATATATTTTTTTTAAATACAGACATTTGTTACATCACGTGTATCTTACGATCGTAAGATTGCTACATATGAAACAACAAAGCGGATGTAAGAAATATAATGAAAAAGCGAAACCAGCATAATTAGAATATTTATTCTGTTTGCTTGTATTTTTCGAGGAATTAAATTCACAAAAACGTACAATTTAACTAATCGAAAATTTATTTCAAATATTTTTAACAAATAGGCAAAATATATTAGGAATTAAATATAAAATTCTATACTTTGTCGAAAATTATTGAAAATATATAAATTTGCTACATTATGATTGCCACGTATTGAGCAACAAAGCAAATGTAAAAAATCTGCTTGATTTTCAAATTGATTTGATTTGTCATTACTTTTCGAGGAACTAACTTGACGAAAGTATACAATGTAGGTAGTTGATAATTCATTGAAAACATTTCTTTATTTGAATGAACGTATACACATAAACACACATTCATATCCCTCGGAAGATGATAGGCCCGTAGATAATCAAAGCGAAGATCGGTTACCCTTCGTGGGCGAAGTTTATGCAAATAGAAGAACATTAAACGGTAGTTATGAACGTGACACGCTTTTACGGACAGGAAATAAGTGCGTAAATACGTATTAGCTTATGCAGTCTCTTTCACAAATCTGCTACATAGGAAAAATCTTTTCTAACGGTTCACTTGGTTTCCAATTCCCGGAATAATGCGGTAAGAATTATTAATGCTAAAAATAGTAAGTAAGTTTATCTTATTCGATCGTATATCAAACGATTCGTCATCCAGTAGTCATGCAATTTGGAAAACTTTCGTAATCTTTACAAAATGTAATTACATAAAAAAAGAAAAAAAAAAGTAAAATTAAACATTTCGTGGAAACGTCGATGTGTAAATAATTCTGCAAAATTATTGAAAATAACCGAGGATTTAAATAATACGAAAGTTTGATTTACTCCAAAGAGAAAAATCCAATTTACTTCACGCACGCCCTATATAAGATAAAAAACTGTACGTGTGCGCGAGTGCGCGCAGGAGGGAGAAACACTGAGAGAGAGAAAGAAAAAACACGAAAGGCTTAACGTATGATATTTCATACGTGCCGAGGAGTTAAACGTGCTTGGCATTAAAAAACGCATAAAACGTAACCTGTTATTTATGCCAGGCTAAAAGAGGAGAGGAGAAGAGAAAAGAATAAGAAGAAGAAAGGAAGGAAGAAGAGGATGATGCAAAGGAAAAAAAAGATCAACCGGTTAAAATCGTTTCGATCCGTCCCTTCTAAATTTAGAAACCGTAGGGCTGGTTTAAAGTCTGCTTTTTAGGGCCTCGTACTAAAAGAAAGTAAAAAGAAACGATAAGGGGATTCTCTCGCAACAAAAGGAACTAAACGAGCAGGACAGGTTACTCGTGATGTGATGCATCCGAAAGATCGCATGATCGCTTATTGTTGCATTTGTGAAACGTTCGATTCAATTTAATTTCTTTTTTTTATCTTTTTTTTCTTGTTTTTCTTCTTTCTTTTTATTTCTTCGATGCATTTCTCAAATGATTATCGATGAATAGTGACTTTTCTTGACGTTCGTCATTTTGTAACAACCACCACGAGGTTATTTATATCGGCATGTTTTTTTGATGACTAATGATTTATGGGTAACGTTAAATCAACAACACAGTTCAGCTGTACGAATAGAATTTTGTTATCCTCGGGAATACCAGAATATTCAGAACCGGTTGATTATCAGGTTAAATTATATTGATGAATTGAGTAAGCATCGTTTAGATGTAATGTGAGAATTCGTTAGAACGAAACATCATTTTTGTTACCTCTTGTTAATCATAACAATCTATGATTCATGATTATTCGTCTGATCAAAAGAAATATTTTAATGATTTATATATTATATACTTCATTTATTACTTTGCGATGAAACGAGTAAAGAAGAAAAAATATAGTTTTTATCACTCGTTAATTAACTGATAAGTATTTCAAAACAGAATTACTCAAAAATTTCATTCATTTAGTCAAAATAATTTTCCATTGATAAAATAAGCTATTCAAGTAAAAAATATTCTTATAATTTATTTTCTTTTTGTAAATAATTCAATGTAAATTTAGAATAAATAAAATATTATTTAGAAAACATAGTATATAATAATATTATTCATTTATAATGTTACACCCTATGCTTAACCTATCCTACCAAAAAAATAAGAAAATAAAAAAAATTTCAAAAAATTTTATTTATTTAAACTAAATTTTAATTAACACGTATTTATTTTTAATATCAATTTAGAATACAAATTCTTAAATTAATATATACTTAATATTATAAACATAGGTTTACAAATATTTATACCAAAAGAAAAATGTATACGTAATATTACAAATATTTATACTAATTGTGAAAGAAAAAAAAGGTAATAAAAAGTAAAAAAATAAAGATATCACTCTCAAGGAATAGTTTTGTTTACTTGAAACGTTAAAACCTTATTGCTTTAACTCGAATTAGAATATGATGAAAACCTTAGATTACTTATTGTTTGGTAGTTATTAATTACTACACGAGTATAAAAAACAATAGGTAATTTAGATATTAAATCTTTATGGCACCTAAAAACACTAATACACCACAGACTAGATCATTTTGTTTTTGTTTTTCTTATTTACAGAATTTTCGAAAAAATACGATATTATTTCGGCAACTCGAGTGAATCAATACCGATGTCCTTCGTCCTGGGATTTTACGTGAGCCTCGTAGTGAAAAGATGGTGGGAACAGTACAAACTTTTACCGTGGCCAGACAATCTGGCCCTCTTCATCAGCGCCGCCATTCCTGGAAACGTAAGTAGAAACTACGAGAGTTCTATTCTACGAGTCAAAAAAAATAAAAAAACGTCAAAAAATGCAAACCAAAAAACCGACAAAAAATAAGAAAAATCAGGAGCCAAAAGGTCTTTCGGAGAGTTAAGACGAAATTCTGAGAAGGATCGGAGAATGTAACAATTCCCCCCCATCTCACTCCACCTACAATTTCTTTTTCTCTTAATGCGAATCGAATTGATGAATAGAAACGTCCAAGTTCATCCAACCGCACAAAAATGCCACTTCGAGTTGGATGTATCGTTTAAATCCAAAGGATTGTTGCCCTCGAGCAACTAATACCTAAGTCGATGCTAGAATACTCGAAAAGGCTAAAGAAATAAAATAAAAAAACGAATGTGCGTGACCTCCTGTTATCATATAGAAAATAACCAATTGATTTATATATATATTACCACTAAAGTACAGAAATCAGTTATTCTGAAGATTAACTAGGATAAAGTGCCGAAAATTGTTCCATTTCTTAAATTACTTAGGTAATCTACAAATTACATAGATAATCTGCATATTATCTGTTAGCCATTTGTTAAAGTGAAAATAACATCTTTACTCGAATAATAGTAACGTTTCTGTACGCTTAAATTAACATAATGTTATTTATTTATTTTTCGATATTTAAAAAGTCAAGTTAATACAATCAACAAATTAGTTGATAAAATCAATTATGAATCAATTAATAAACTATAATAGAAAGAATCTCAAACGGCTTAAAATATTATTACAATTAAAGAAATGAATTTACAAAACATGATAAAATTATGCTTACTTAATAACAAATCTAAAGATTGATGATACTTAAAATTTTTTTTTCTTTACAAAAGCAATTGGTATTTAAAACAAGGACATCTATTTGTAATATATTTAAATTTGCAGTCACATATTCTGAAACTTTGTCCAGTATCAAAGAATATTTTACTGTTGTTTAATGTAAAAATATTTCTACAGTAGGGAAATTTTTTCTGTTGTTAAAAATCTCTCTTTGCAAACACTGAATTCAGATTTTGCATACGATTGTTTTAAAATACTCGTTTTAGTATCAAGTCTATAAAAGTCATCCTCTGTTTCACTAACAATAAGAACTGCAACCAAAATCGAGCTAGGATCAATTTTTGTTTTGTCTATTTCGGATACTTTAATTTTCTCAGTGACATCTTCATCGACATTTGAATACTTTGCATTAGAAACTGCTAACATTTTAACGACACGGAAGCCGTTAATGTGCATATTATCTAGATAGTATACTGAAAACTCTTGATTCTACGCGTTAACTGAGCAGAACAGTTAATCTGTAGATTAGCTAGGTAGTATGTACATTAACTCTAGCGGTAACATACATAGTGAATGTCGTTAAAAATTGTACATCCTTTCTTTTACTTGATTTTTATTTGAAAACTATTGATATAGTGTGTTTAGGATAAACAAATCTGAAAATAAATATATTAATATATATTCATTAGTTTTATATAGTATATATTCAATGAGTTTAACTTGAAAGCATTATTTATAACAAATGAATTTGACTAATATGAAAATAAAATAATGTACAGAAAATGCCAATATTTTAACACTAGATTTACGGAACTCGTCAAAATGACGGGTATGCTTAAAAATTCTGAACATGCAAACATTATTTTTTAAATATTACATATTGGTTTTTAATTATATAATGCAGCGAATATATATTTCTAGTCATTTTCTCTGGAACACCTTTATTTTATTTTCAGATGTGGTATACGTCTTTTTACGAAAATCCGTCCATTTGACCGATTAAGTTATATAGATATACAACATCTGGAAATAATAAAAATGAAATAACAATGAATAAGAAAAAACAACACTAAACAAATAACGGCTATTTTCCAGTAAATACATGAGTAACAAGTTTGGACTTGTTATCTACAGTTACATCAAACATATACACAATATATCACAAATACTCACAGTTCACTGATGACCTTTGTGAGCTTAAAAGAAGTTATTTTCGGAGGTGAAGCATCTCTTATTAGTTTATAAAACAAGTAGATCAAATTGAAAGATTATAAGATAGAGTTTACATGTAAAAACTGTATTGAAGACAACAGTAAATGAAAAGATTTTCATTATATAGCTTTTTAATAAATAATTTAAAACAAAAAAAATTGCATTTTACACATACCCGTCAAAAAGACGAATTTTAGTAAAAAAAGATATACAGGCAATGCTCGTAAATCTAGTGTTAAAATCGTACGTGTTAGTATAACACTAAAGACAGGAATATCTGATTTTGTTATGTTTAGCAATTCATTTTCCTTTGTTTATTCTATTGTTTAAATGATTTTAAGTGTTAGAATCAGTTTAATACACATTAAAAAAAAATAACACATAAAATACAAATGTATTGTTAATTAAGTTGAAAATTTGCATCTAATAAAATATCAGATCAAAATTGTTTACTCGAAAAGTATATAATTTTTAAACAAATGTACTTTGTATTATTGTTAATTTAATTGATTTTAAACTAATTCTGATACTAAAAAGAGTAATATATACATGATCAAAAAATGCGATAGAAGTGAAACTCGTGTTATCATGTGGAAAATAATCAATTGATTCATATTTATATTTATTACGAGACAATAAGACTGAGAAAGAGAGCGAGAGAAAGCGAATGAAAGATGAAAAAGGATATGAAAATTTAATAATTTACGAGTTTTATTGAAAATATTCGAAAGAGAAATATATAAAATTGTTATTTATTTAATTTTCATCTTTTTCCATTTCTAAAAATAATACGAATTGCTTATAATAACAAAAATAATATCAAAATTCTTACAACTAGTTTGAATTAGACCAAGATATTTTTGGAATAGTGCATCGATTGTTGTACTTGACCGAATTGTCGATTCAGTGGATTTATTAAACATTTTTAGGTTGAACAAATTTTCCAAAAATACAAATTAGAAATTGTGAACTCTCCGATGCAACATTCATGTTGAAATCAACAATTGAGGTTATCGGCATTTTGTTGTAATTTTGTTCAGAATGTTAGTAATCTCGAGTGAATTTTAATCAAATTTTCGTAAATGAATTTAATAATATTTTCAATTGATTCAAAGAAATGTATATTGAAACGATTGAATGACTTGTCAATTTTTTCTAATCAATATTGACAAGCACACAATTTCCCATTAAAAAATTCCAATTTCCCAATAATTGACTAATGTATGTCTAATGGATTATTTTGATGCGTTTTTATGTTCATCTGACAAGTAAGAATCTAATGATTAGTCATTAGCATCGTGGTAAATAACAACGCCACTTGATTTACTTGAAACACGCTAATTAGAAATATTTAAAATAAAGTTATTTATTTTGTAGAAATAAAAAACTAAACTAAAAAAAAAGTAAACTTTAATAAAACTAGTTTTTATTAAATCTCAGAAAGGATCAAAATATTTGATAGTTTTGAAAATTCTTTTTATATTGGTCAACTCACGACTGGCTTCTTTTCTCTCTTTTTTATCTTTTCTCTCGCCTTTCTCATCTCTACTCATCTTTCCATAATAAAACACATTTCGTAATAACAATCGATGGAAATATCTCATCATATATACAACACACACAACACTATCACTAATACTAACACTCGATGCTTTCATAATCTCGTTCAACCGTCGATCGACTGGTCTCACTCTCTCACCCACACACACACACACACACACACACGCACACACACACATATATATATATATATATATATATATGCGCGCACGCATAATTTTATAGTTGGTTTTATGTTATTTTCTCTTTCGTTCCCTCTTTTTTTAGGATTGTTTCATAAAATTTTGTCGTTACTGTCGTTTAAGAAGTTATGTACAGTACAGTTACAGTTTACAAAAATAAACACTTGGTAATAATAAAAACGCATCTTCTTTTACGAGCAAAGTCGTTCAAGAGATAATCGATGTAGTCTTACAGTCAAGCTGTCGGCAGCCTATGTTGCGCTTGTGTCTCATTACGCTAATGAATTGCCGTGACACGTTTCGGTGTCGTTAACCCAAGTAAGTAACAGTCGTACCAGGCCACGCCCAGAAGAGAACAAAAAATAATTTACTCCAAACTAACACGCTTCCTACGAAACGACACATGAATTTACATTTTTTCGATTTCATTTTTATTATTTTTATCGTTTCTATCATTTAACTTTGTAACAGTTGACATTGAGTTATGTTCATCCATATATCGATTAACCTTGACATACATATCTATAATACTTTATTAGTTACTGAAAATCTGAATAAATAAGAACAGTAACGAGCACTTTGCTACGCTTTAAATAAATTACTATCGATTTAATAGGAAACTGTTAATTCAAATTTTATAGACAACTTTTGTTATAGTAAATGAGTTTAATGATTCGTGGTAAAAGTAAATAAAACAAAATATTAGATTCAACAGAAAGTTCGTAGTAAAATTTGGATCATTTAGTGTAGTGTTAGGTTTAATTATTACTAATTAAAGAAATATTTAATTTATTATTCAACAATATTTCATAAATAGTTACTATAAAAAGATAAATAATTACTATAAACATTTATTTCTCTTAGTGATAATAAGTTTAATTAAATATTAAATTTATTATAAATAAAAAAATGAAACATCAATTAAATTCTTGGTATTAAAATTAGTAAAAAGTTCTTAAATTCTACACTCAATTTATATTCTTAATATACAAAGTGTTATATTTTCTAAGTAAAAATAAGTAGGTATCGCATAATGTACTGAACAACCATCTAATTTGCTTTATAAATGTTAATGAAATAATAATATTAACCCCTTGCAGTCGAAACCTTTTTCGCTGGGGTGAACCAGCAACTCAAGACGATTTTCTGCATATTTACTACATTACTTACAGATACTTGAAATGATTTCACACAAAATTTAAAACTTGTACGTTTAAAACTTTTATATATCTTTATACT